ATTAAGTTCAGAGATGACCTATTAAATATTACATCTATAGCAAATAGTTTTTTTGATTTGAATGACATACAAGTCAATTGGTCAAAATCAGAACTCCTTATTAACACATCACAAAAAGTCCTTTCGAATTTTAATATAATAAAAATATGTGATCTATCACTTCTCATTCCCTTAAAGCAAGTATCAGATATTTGAAAGTTTGAATCTCACTCGCATTAAACAAACAGTTCATTTACAATCAAATACATAGTGAAATCAAAAAAGCTATCACTATTATAGAATATAAATGTTTTACAGATTCACAGCTAATATATATTTTTAACACAGTCTTTCTTTCATAAATAGAATACAGATCTCAATTCACGTTACCTTCTGAATTATGGTATAAAAGTTTTGTTGCTACTTTTTTGGCATTTGTTAAAAGGAAATTAAAGCTTTTTAAATACATACCAACTGATTTATTCCATTTGCATTATTTTTATAATTTAACTCTATTATACCAAAGACTTTTACAAAATTTCAGCAATGCTTTCTTGCAAATAACTAATAAGTCTAATATACTTAGTACATCTTTTTATATATTACTCGCTTACTAATTGTTCGTCTGTAATGTTTTATATTGATATTTTATCAGATTTACTATCAAAGTTGAATTTTTCATGAAAATATCAACATAACACAATTATCATGATATATCAAATGAAAATCGTACTGCAAAAAGTTTAATATAATTTTAATAAGATTAATATATAAAAAGCATTTAAAAATATTATATTAATATAAGCATTATTTATAATTCTAAATAAAATTATTTAAAGTAAAAGTTAACATTTTAAAGTGACAATTATTAAACTTCAGAGCCTTCTCTTTACTACTTTTATTGAAAGGTATACAGTAGTGGTCATAAGTATCTGACTACCTCTAACTCTGGTTACAAGTAAGTAAATTCAAAATTTTTTTTATTTAAAAAATATATAACTAACTAACTAAAAGTAATATATTATGTAGTCACCATCTGACTCTATAAGTGTAGCTGTATGCCTTTTCATATTAGCTATTAAATTCATGGTAAGTACAGGTAATAATCAGTTCTATTTTTTTATAAGTTCTCTCTTTAACTCTCTAATTGATCAAATTTTTTTTTTGTATATTAATTTTCATTAACCTCTAAATATTTTCTATAGGGTTTTAGTTTAGAGATATTTATGGCTAAGAAAGTACTTCAATACTATTTTTTTTCTTTCATTTTTTCGTAATTTTTGATCTTTGGATCATTATCTTTTTGCAAGATTCAATCTATGTTACTTTTACCAAAAAGTTTAAAGGTAGAAGTCAGAAGACTTTACTTATAAATAGTATACATAAATTTAATATTAAGGTTTCTCTGAAAGCAAAATAATTTACTAAATCCAAAAGCAGAAAAACATCTTCAAATATGAACTTTTGGTGAATGCTTAACAAAACGAAATACTTTTTTTCTACTAAGAAACTGCCAAATCTTTTTTTTTGATATATATAATTGAAATGTATTCTCATCTGTAAAAATAACTTAATTCTAATCAAAATTTTTATATTATTTTGCCCATTATAACCTTTTCTTTCGATGGTCTTCTTTAAGCAAAGGTTTAAAAATTTTATTACTAAACTTTTCTTCAGACTTATGAAGACATTACCTTACTGTTTCTATACTAAGTCCAACACTTCTTTCTTCTATTTTTTTTATATTTGAATGGCTATTATATTATGTTCTTTCTCTATCATCTTTACAATTTTGTAATCTTATTTCATAAATACTACTCCAATCTTTCTAAAGTACTTAGTCTCGATTTTTATGATATATTTTAATCTAATAAATAGCTGTAGACTTACTACAATGAACCTATTTAGCAATAAATCTAAAACTAAATTTTAGACTAACTGGATGCTTACATAAAAAGACAATTTTATATCATTTTTCTAAAGAAAGCTCCATTTTTCAAGCGAAAGTTTGATAATCATCTAAATTTCTTTTTGTATCATTGATACTTATAAATTACAGGTGACATGTATTGTGTTGCATTATATTCCTGGAAAATTTAAGGGTATTTATATAATAATTTTAGACGATCTTAGGTGATCAGATACTTATGACCACTACTGTACACAAACATGCAAACAAAAATAGACCTATTAAAGTAACATATTATTTAACTTGAAGTTGAGCTCAAGGCCAAGAATTCTGAGATTACTGAACTTAGAAAGAAGCTTGTCAAGGTTGAGGTCAAAAATGTAAAGCTTATAAAATAGATGATGGAAGAGAATAACAAACATAATGCTAGAATTAAAGTTTTAAAGATAAATAAGACAAATACTATTAATAGAGTTCCTACATTAAAACAGAAGCATTTGTAAGATGATATTACTAATAACAACTCTTTTAACTTCAATTTAGATATAGTCCATGTTTGCAAAATAAATGAGAATAAAAAGATAAATATTTTCTTGATCAACATAAATAAAAAAAGCATTGGTGAAGATTTTAGATGATGCAATAAGGAGAAGAAACTCTAACATGAATCAGCTAATTAGAATAATATCTTTGATACTGCTTATATATTAAAAATTGTTAATAATATTGAAATGCCAGATAGGCTAGGAAGTTAAATCATTGATAGAAGTAATAATTCTACTTTCTTAGATTTATCTTGTAAAATAATTGTAATTACAGATATCTCATACATAGTACCTCTTGATCAAGATCATGATCATGATCAGAAAGATATTACTCTCTCTGTAGTAAATCCAAACTTATCATGTGATATAAAAATCCTTAACAATATTAAGAGATTTTCTAAATATTCTTCTCAGCATCTGCCAAAAGATAAATAGAAATATAGATACATAAAGATCAGAGAAAGAAAATTCTTTTGATAGCTTACTAAGGTACATCCTACTGATCAAGAATGGTAAAAATGTTTAGGTTTTCTTGAGTATATTAACTAAATTTGTATAAGATTTGTTAGAAGAGTTACTCAGTCCCAGAAGGACTCTTTCATCTGATGATCTACTTCAGACTATAAAGTTTTTTTCTCCTAAAACTATAGTTTCTAGATCAATAAGTAAAAAAACTTGCTAATTCATTCTGCTAAACGAATGTTATAAGAAATAAAATGATTGTAGTGAAGCGATAAAAAATTACGTTATGGTGTATATTCTCTGAAAGGTTCAAAAATAAAGTTATGAAGCTTAGGTCTAATGATAAGAAACTTATGAATCTGATTGCAAGAAAGCAGATCTATAATGAAATGAAATCATACCTTATAAATGTTTTAATTAGATATTTACAAGTAATGATCTATAAGGTGAGAAAAATCAATAAATTATTTGGGTATAGATATGATTCTGTAACTCTAAAAAAGATTAAAGGTATACTGAGATATATAGTTCAATAGGTTACCTGTAGCGTTGACAAAATTTTAAGACTCATTAATCTTTAAATCGATTATATTATAGAACAAGTCAATTTGAAAATGATCATTAGTCATGTAAATGAAATCTCCTCGACCATAGCTACTACTTTAGCTTATGACTCTAATTCAGATGACTCTGACGCTAACGAATCTGACTCTAACGCTAATAAATCTGATTCTGATATATATTTCAAATCTGATAATTCTAATGCTAATAAATCTGATTTTGATGTATATTTTAAATCTAATAACTCTGTCTCTAATGATGAATATAATTACAAACTTTATGAAAGGCTTACACATGAAAAAATGTTAAGAATAATGAAGTTAGATGATAAATTACCAACTAAGTCTAAAGAGCGATCACAAAGTGACTCCTAAGTAAATGATAACGATTTTGATAAATACTCATAAAAATTTATAAGAATTTTGATATATATTTTGATGATCCTATACCTCAAATAGTTATGAGTTCTATCATCTCTCTAGTGACTACCTAAGAGAATTATTAAGTAAATCATATATTCGCATAGTTTTAAAGTATCTTTTCTTTTTTCAAATCATATAGATGACTTAGATATTTTGCATAGTAAAATGTCATCTTTGCAATAATTATATATAATATTATTTTTTCTTTAAAATTTTGAATTCACTCTTCTAAAGTTAAGAGTATAGTTTGTAATAAAAATAAAAGACATATTCAATTCACACTATTAGCAACTTCAGCATTAGCCAATGAAACCCAATCTAAAAGTATTATAGTAACAGATACAGAATTGTGAGAATTTATTTGTCAAGGTCTAATAGTTGATAAAATTTATGAAGTATTATCATATGATTAAAAAAAATATGCCTTGAGTTGATAACTTTATCAATCTTTCTATTGAGCTCAAAAACCAATATGATAATCTAAGAGAAAAAATATATTACGCTTTAATGAGAGAACTCTTTAGCATGAAGGTATTTCATGATGTATCCAGTTAAGATAAACTCATTTCTAAAACAGATAACTGATTTTATCATTCAAATAGGGCAAAGTAAAAAAGGATAGTTGAGTCATGGATCAGTTGCAACATTATACCAAGTAATAACTATAGAAAGAGTGATGAATCTGCTTAATGATACTGAAAATAAAGGTCCTAAAACTCGTGAATAAATAATTATTTTCTAAAATTTATATTGCAGAATATGTATTATTAAGCATCACGTAGCTTATGCGGAATGATCAACCTAAATGATATATTAATCTATGAATGTCACATTTTCACAGTGCTTTTATTTTTTTATATAATCATTACCTGAAAAAAATTTATAATTAAAGTAATACAATGAGTATACTAAAGAATCCAAAAGAATTAAATGAATCGTATTTCACTTTGAAATCTAATCTTAAGCTGTCTGATCTTGTTTAGGCTTCTAAATGTCTTTTGAGTTATTTAAGTCCTAAATTAAAACAATCATTTCGTCTAGTAGTTAAGTTCTTAAAAGAAAAAAGCATATTTTTGACTTTACCTTGACACCTCATTTTGATTTGATATTTATCTTCATATTATGTCTGATTTTGCTGAAGCTATTAGAATTGCAAGACAATATGTTACAACTATATGCCTTAATATTTCACTTAAGAATGAAGCTCCATTTATTATAGATTATAAAAAGAAAGAAAAAGGCAAAGCATTTGATCTTTACCCATTCTTTTCTACACTAAAAAAGAGTGCTGTGAGTATGAAGATAAAAAAAATATTTGTTCTGTCAATAGTGTTTATTTGACTGAATTCTACTAACTTAATATTGATTTTATAGAATGGGAAGACTAGTTTATAAAGCAAATATGATAACTAGGGATGGGAGAAAAGTTAAATGCAATTTTTATTTTGTTACAAAACTTGTCATAGATGAATTAAGCAATGATGAGTATGTTGTATTACTAAGAAGAGAACCCTTTTGAGAGTTATTACTAATTTCACATCCTAATGATAATGAAAGTATTAACTACAGAATTATAATAATAAAGCTTTGGTACAAGAAGAGACATTTTAGAAAGACTTGTTAAGTAAACGAGAAAGTTTAGACTTTGATTCTATAGCAATTTACTATAGAGTATGAAAAACTGGATAGTTACAGAATAAATATGCACAAGAGTGTCACACGCATATTCATTTGTATTTTACTCCAGAGGCTTAGAATAAAGTGAAGGAAAAAATTAAAGAAAATGCAGATATTTTATTGAAATTTGATGCTAGGAAACACCTGGATCAAATTATTTACTTCAGGATTATGACGAGTTGGAAGAGAAAAGGTTACGACCAGCAGAACATCTGCTTATGCTAGATGCAGTGTCTAATCTAACGTTGAAAATCGAAGAAAATAACAAGAATCTCATTGAAACAATGAATAAAAATACCATATTACATATAGAAGCAATAAAAGGTATAAGAAAATCAGGAGAATCCAAGGAAAGTTCTGATAGTAATATTATTGGTAAAGAGCGCTAAAATTAATAGAATCATTTTGCATCATATAACAGTCGGTAATCACTTCACATAATCGAAATTTTATTTTTGTACAGTAGCGGTCATAAGTATCCGACCGCCCGAGATCGTCCAAAATTATTATATAACTACCCCTTAAATTTTCCA